TATACATGTATTGTATATATATATATATAAAATATAAATATATATAATATATACATGTAACTCTAAATCAGTCAATTGTCATTTTATTGTATTTCATGCATTATATATAACATCAAGCAACATACAGTCTTTTTATTTTTAAATTACATAATTTTGTACGAGGGAGGCTGGAGACATTGAGTCTGAGTGGCCTATGTTCTCCACTTCCATTGTTGGCGCAGCTGTCCGAAGCTGCGGCCATAAGGTCTCCAGTGCCTGTCGTAGCGGCAATCCCCGAACCCGGTGGTGGACACCGGAGGTAAGGGATACCGTCAAGCTGAAGAAGGAGTCCTGGTTCGTGGGACTCCTGAGGCAGCCGACGGATACAGGCAGGCCAAGCGGACTGCAGCTCAGGTAGTCGCTGAAGCAGAAACTCTGGTCTGGGAAAAGTTCGGGGAGGCCATGGAGGAGGACTACCGGTTGGCTTCGAAAAAATTCTGGCAAACCATCCGGTGCCTCAGGAGGGGGAAGCAGTTTCCCACCACCGCTGTTTACAGAGCTGTTGACCTCGATTGCGATTGTCGTCGGACGGTGGAAGAAATACTTGGAATACTTTGAGGATCTTCTCAGTCCCACTGAAACACCTTGCACGGAGGAAGCTGAGGCTGAGGACTCAGGAGCTGATCCCCCCATCTTCTGTGCTGAGGTCACCGAGGTAGCCAAGAAGCTGCTCGGCGGAAAGGTGAAAGGTGAAATCCGCCCTGAGTACCTCAAGTCGCTGGAAGTTGTGGGGCTGTCTTGGTTGACACGTCTCTGCAGCATCACGTAGCAGTCCGGGACAATACCCCTGGACTGGCAGACCAGGGTGGTGGTCCCTCTTTTCAAAAAGAGGGACCGGAGGGTGTGTTCCAACTATCGGGGGATCACACTCCTCAGGAAAAGTCTATTCCAGGGTACTGGAGAGGAGAATCCGGCCGATAGTCAAATCTCGGATTCAAGAGGAACAATGCATCTTGGTCGTTGAACGCTGGACCAGCTCTATACCCTCCACTGGGTGCTTGAGGATTCATGTGAGTTTGCCCAACCGGTCCACATGTGTTTTGTGGACTATGAAAAGGCTTTCGACCGTGTCCCTTGTGGTATTCTGTGGGGGGTGCTCCGAAAGTATGGGGTCGGCGGCCCTCTTCTAAGGGCTGTCCGGTCCCTCTACAACCGGAGCAGGAGCTTGGTTCGCATTGCCGGCAGTAAGTCGGACCTGTTCCCGGTGCATGTTGGACTATGGCAGGGCTGCCCTTTGTCACCAGTTCTGGTCATTATCTTTATCGACAGAATTTCTAGGCACAGCCAGGTGTCGGGTGGGGTTCAGTTCGGGAAGATCGTCAGTTCGGGAGCCACTGGATTTCATCTCTGCTTTTTGCGTATGATGTTGTCTTGTTGGCTTCTTTAAACCACGACCTGCAGCATGCACTGGGGCAGTTCGCAGCCGTGTGTAAAGGCAATGGGATGAGAATTAGCAACTCTAAGTCCAAGGCCATGGTTCTCAACCAGAAAAAGGTGGTTTGCACCCTCCAGGGTGGGGAGGAATTCCTGCCTCAGGTAGAGGAGTATCTTGGGATCTTGTTCACAAATGACGGTAGGATGGAACGTGAGATTGATAGGCGGCCGCAGTAATGTGGTCACTGTATCGGTCCGTTGTGGTGAAGAAGGAGCTGAGCCGAAAGGCAAACCTCTCGATTTACCAGTCGATCTACGTTCCTACCCTCACCTATGGTCATGAGCTTTGGGTCTTGACCAAAAGAACAAGATCCCGGATACAAGAGGCCGAAACAAGCTTTCTCCGCAGGGTGGCAGAGCTCTCCCTTAGAAATGGGGTGAGAAGCTCTGTCACACGAGAGGAGCTCGAAGTAGAGCCGCTGCTACTCCACATCGAGGGGAATCAGATGAGGTGGCTTGGGCATTTACATCGCATGCTCCTCTGGACACCTCCCTTGGGAGGTGCTCGGGTCCTGTCCCTCTGGGAGGAGACCTAGGGGAAGACCTAGGCCACGCTGGAGCGACTACGTCACGCGGCTGGACTGAGAGCACAATGGGGTCCCCCCAGAAGAGCTGGAGGAAGTGTCTGGGGAGAGGGAAGCCTGGGTGTCCCTGCTCAGACTGGTGCCACCGCCTCGGATAAGCGGATGATGATGGATGGATGGATGGAATTTTGTACATTTAGAGTAAAAAACTAGATATGCAACTTGCTGTATCATATTATAGATTAAAACATTATTATAAATATATATATATATTACATATATATATAAATAAAATATATATAATATAAATATACATGATATGTTTTCTTATGTTTTCTCATTACTGTATTATGGTAGCACTTTTTATATTTGTTTGTGTTTTATTATGTTTTTGTTTGTTCAGAAAAAAAGAATATTTGACCATTGTGACCCAATGTATCAAATATGATACAAATTGAAACTCATATATAGAAAATTATATTTGATTTTTTTTAGTTTGTTTGTTCAGAGGGACCAATAAAGTAATTTTATGTCAATTATTTAATGGTTTGGGCTTTACAGGGTTAAATGAAAAGAGGCAGTAACTGTACTTCTACAGTAGAGTCATGGTGTTTCCACAACTAATGAAGCCCACAGATGTTAAAGGGTTAAGCTCAGATAAGAGAGCATGATGGTGATGAGTGTGACGCATCATCATTACACTGCATAGTATTTGTAATAAAATATTATCTCCTTCCTTCTACAGGGGAATGCACGCCTCACTCACCTCCTTTTGAATTCCAATGACATAAAATGTCTTTCCTTCAAACTTCAGCTTACTGACGTCGGCCCTGCAAAAGATTATATATTATTCATTAAAAAAACACTAGAATATAGTGATAAATTATGTTTGTCTACATTGGTTTTTGGCAGCATCCATTAATCTTAATTCAAAGGACGGTCTGCTGGCTCTAAAGGCAACTAAGCACGGAATACGGCACAACATACTGGCAGAGACAAAGAGGAAATACTTAGGATGCAAAGCCAGGGCTAGAGTAAAGGCGAAGATGGCGGATGAACGGAGGCGTTTCCTCCGTCATCATGGAAAACATACAACCAGCGGATATACCGGGAGTGCATCCTGTTCATCCTCACAGGGACTTGGCTTACTGACAGGGTAACCGATGTTAATGTGGACCTGTGAGGATTTACGGCAGTGAGAGCTGACAGGGACACAAAAGCATGTGGGTAGAGCAAAGGTGGGGGACTAACTGCTGGTGTAACCCCGGACATGTCTCCGTAAAGAAAGTTTTATGTTGCCCGGACTTGGAGCTATTAGACATGCTATCTGCCGAGGGAGTTTAGTCACGTGATCTCCCTCTGTATTTACATTCCTGAGAGAGCTGCTCCTGCCACTGTCTGTACATGTGTATGCAGATTTAGATGTAAATGTGTGTAGGTGAAACAAAGAAGTAATACATAAGGTGCACCGTGTTATAAGGCGCACTGTCGATTTTTGGTGTATGCATATGTATATGTATATGTATATGTATATGTATATGTATATGTATATGTATATGTATATGTATATGTATATGTATATGTATATGTATATGTATATGTATATGTATATGTATTTGTAAATATATAGATAGAATAGATATTAGTAATACAATTATTTGTACAACCATTGTTACCAGGAGCTACTATACATATATAATATACAACTATTTGTACAGCCGTTGTTACTAGGAGCTACTATACATATATAATATAATATGTTGTATGTGTGTGGTGGCTCTTGGTGATAATGGTTGTATAAATCAGGTCGACATCATACACTAATATATCTGCTGGTACTGCCTATAACTGTTTATCTAATTTAATTATTTAATTACTCAACTACTTCTACTGTTCATATATGTAAACTATTTATCTATCTATCTATTTATCTATCTATCTATCTATCTATCTACCTATCTACCTATCTACCTACCTACCTACCTACCTTTGTTCTCATTATCAGTAAGTTCACTACAGACTAAAGGTTTCATATTTTTGCACAGACTCCAGAATCTGTACCATTTGAGGAGGTGGATCCTCTTGTTTCCCTGGAAGACCACAAAGCCTATGGCAGTAAATCCGAGAAAGGCTGTGGAGCCAGTGAAGTCCTAGAAACAAACAAAATCAGTGTAGGAGAGGCAGTACCATAAATTATAGGATACAGCTTCAAGTATAGCAATTATTTCCATAGTAACGACACCTACATGTGCAAAATGATCTGTTTGTTTCCAACTCCAACCTGATAATTAGCACGGATCAAGTCCACACAGCACAGAAACTAGAGTTTGAAAAAACTCTCTGTAGTTAGTGAAAAATAACAATTCCCGAAGCTTGCCATCTGTAAATCTACCTCATATCTGTCTTCATTAATCTTACATCAGGGGTGTCAAACATATGGCCTGCGGGCCAAAACTGGGCCACTAGGGTGTTCAATCTGGCCACTTGATGGATTTTGAAAACAAGAAAAATACACAAGCACTTCATGTTCAGTAGATGTTTTTGTAAAATACTATTTAATAAAATATAAATACATAATAATAAATATTATATATATACTTGTACTGTTTCCATTAAAAAGGGGGAAAAACATGGACTTATTGTTATAATTATAATTATTTTATATTTTTCTCTTTTGGTCCACTTGACATCTAATTAGGTTGTATGTAGCCTGTGAACCAAAATGAGTTTGAAACCCTTGTCTTACATATTTATCTTATATAAAGCACTTAGGGCTATGTCACATACGGACATAAGGATGCGTCTTAGATTCTAATTTTCCAACTACAGTGTGGCTTATACTACAGTCAGAGTCCTGTTATTCCATGACATACAGTCAAAAGCAACCTATGTTTGCCAGAAAAGCTAAAAATGGGGGGCATATTTACTATTTAATGTGTAGGTGATTTCTGATTTACATCCTTAATGCAGTTCTCAGCCAAATAAAAGGGTCAGTGTTAAATCAGATTTAAGTAGACACTAAAAAAGATCAAGGTCATTGACCTTTGCTCGCTCATCACTTCTGTCAGTGTTAGCCATTTTGCTGCTCTGCTGTCACCAAGGTCCATCACATTCGTCAATACGAGTGCAAATAAAGAGCAAATGGGCAAAACGTACAATATAGTGAGTGAGTAAGCGTGTTTAGTTGATGCTGAACATTTGTATTGGTAACTAGTGATACCATGTGTTCATGAACTGCCCCCAGCCTTGTTACCTTGCAAGGATGAGGATCCACTCCATACGTTTCCAGGCTGTGAGACCTTTGGAGCATGTTTAACTCTGCGATGGCAGCACTTTGTCCCCTGAAAAAACAACAAGAAGGAGTCGGGGGTGGCGGGACACATAAATCCTGTCAACCTGGACCAAAATACTGTACTTGTTTAAAACTATAATTATAATATACGATCGAACCCCAAGATACGAGTCTCTCGACATATGATTATTTCGAGATACGAGCAAGCCTTCGAGCAAATTTTTGCTTTGAGATGCAAGTAAAGATTTGAGATACGAGCACTGTACAGACACTAACGGTAGGTGGCCGAGCACTCGGAGCAGACCATGCCGCCTCACTCATTCACTTCATGTGTTCATCGAATTCTGTACGCATCTCCCGCGAGTCTTCCGTGTTGTGTTTACATTATCTATGTGATTTCCTCTCTATTTTGTGCATTACTCTTCATAATAGTGATGAGTCCTAAGAAAGTGAGTGGTAAGAATGGTCGTGAGAAAAAGAAACGCATGATGACCATGGAAATAAAGCATGAAATTGTCGATAAATATGAACGTGGTGCCCGCTAAAGAAAGAATACAAATTGAAAAAAGCAAAAAAGTTAAAAGTTAAAAATAGTAAAGTAAAAAAAATAGTTTAGTTAATTCTAAGTTTATCTTAGTTACAAGAAGTGTCTACGTATGGGCCATCTCTCTTCGCTCCACCCGCACCCCTCCTCCACTTCTGCACATGCCGCCATTAGCCTCAAAGGTAAAAACCACATTTTATATTAGATCACAGGAATCCTTATATAGTCCTTATATAGTCATTTGTGTGTGTATGTTTCTATAGCAATTTAAAACATGTTTTTATCATTGTTATTAGCACTAATAAGGGAGTTTCTTAGAGGGTTGGAACAGATTAATTTTTTTTTCTGTTATTTCTTATGGGAAAAAATGATTTGAGATACAAGCACCTCGAGTTACAAGCTTGGTCGTGGAATGGATTATGCTCATATCTCCAGGTTCCACTGTAATGTACAATATAATGTAATTGGTTTCCAACAAGTCCAAGGTTTCCAAGTTTATGTTATTTTTAATAAATGTACTTTCTGTGTGAACAACCATCCATAAAAATGAAGTGGTAGTAAAATATTTCCCACAGACTGGTTATATCTGGGAGAACAGTTACAACAGTGATGTAATCTGATAGTCCAGGTCCATATATCTGAGTTGCTTAATAACCAATTTTCAAATTGCACATGAATTGAATGTGGAAGATGTAACAGCTGACAACGTGCTGAACAAATATCAATCATGTACTGTACAAACACAAATAATCATATCATTATTTACAGCAAGTACTCAGCTAAAGTGAACGTGCTTGTGGTCTCTGCCATACAGAGTCAGCACATAGAGCAGGCATGGGCAAACCAAAGCCCGGGGACCAGATGTTTTGTAATCCGGCCCACCAAACATGTCCAAATTATATAATTGGTTAGTATTTTTATTTATTTTCCCTGCAATGTCCACAGTTTCCCTAGTAGAGAAGGCAAAAAGCATTTTAGGATATTAGCCTTTATGCATGACTTTTACATGTCATTTATCTAGGTTCACATAGTGCTCCATTTATCTGCTCCTGACCCGGCCCTCCTGTCAAATTTTAGGACCAGTTGTGGCCCACGAGTCAAAAAGATTGCCCACGTCTGATGAAGAGTGAGACAGAGCGAGAATGTGTATGTGAGAGAGAGAGAGCAAAAGGAAAGGAAGGAAAATGAACTACTTGTCATTGTAACACAGCACACCACTGCACACAACGAAACACACAACGTGACCTCTGCTTTTAACCCATCATCAAAATGAACAGTGGGCAGCTTTAAGCGCAAGCAGGGCCCATTAACATCATTTCTGCTTAAATCAATGGATTTTCTATATTCACTGTAAATATGATGGCCACAAACCAGATTATCATTGATCCCCTGAACTCACCACAGCTTACATGACATATTTGGTGTTTATACAGGATTTTTAAAAAGCTTTTGCTTTTATCTCCTACAGGAAGACATAGAGTACAACAGGAAGGGTACATAGCCTTTTGTCTGTCTTTAGTGGAATATAAGAAAATAAATCCATTACTTACAGTGAAGAAACTAGTTCTGACCCCAGTGTTTACCCTGCGTATATTTTACTCCTGATGTCCCTCATCACTCATCGCAGGATTCAGTAAATATACTGTTAAGTGTGAACTCACGGTACACCTACCTGAGCTCATTCCTATGTATTTCCATTATCTTCCTCTCCAGTTTCAGGGACTGTTTAGGGAACAGCCTGAAGTCATTGATGTAGTCTGATGGATGCTCCTCTGGATCATAGTCTCCGAGCTCAGCTGCAGAGAAATATTGATATGGAAAAACAACCACATCGTTAACACAAAAATATGCACAAGATTTACACAACACAGTTCTTGACCCATGGTTGCAAATGTAGTGAAATCCATTGTGTAATTTGGGGGGTTTACTGTTTGAAATTCTTAAATCAGATTAGTGGGCCACATACAACCTGATGAGATGTCAGGTGAGCTGGACCAGTACAATTATAACTTTAAAATTATAAAATTATTTAAGTAAATTATAACTGAATTAAACTTAACTTAACTTAAACTTAACTTATCTTTATTAGTCATTGTGACACAGCACAGCACAGCACACCATGCACAACGAAATTTGCATTTGCAATCTGCATTTAACCCATCACCAATTTTATCTATTTGTTTCATTTCAATTAAAAAAGAGGTGTTTGTGGACAAACAGCTTAAAAGATTTAAGAATAGATCAGAAACAATAATTGTAAATGTACAATTATATTAGATATTTATTATTATTTCCTTTTATTTACTTTTTTTATATACTTTTTACAGATCAGTCAGTTGGTTGATTGTTTTGTTAGATGTAAACAGCTAGTTAGATTCTGAATGTCATTTCTAAAATAAACCATCATTGGCTTATTTTTTATATTTATTCCAAACACAAAACAAATCATCTTGCAAATACCTCTACAGACAGATACTTACGTTATTTTTAGTTTATTCCCAACTGACCACATCTTTCTCCCATGTTCTGTCTTTTACAATCTGAAGTTTTTTCACATTTATATATATAATATATATAAGTGCATATATATATATATATATATATTATATATATAGAGAGAGAGAGAACAATGATGCAACAGTCTCTGTTTTAGCGTGAGCTACAACCGTTGATTTTTATCTTAGGTTAGGAGATTTAGCCACAGAAATTGGGGTTATATACAATAATAAATATAATACACTAATACAGTATAACAAGAGAAAAGTTACAGGCCACTGTTTATTCCCAAGTGTCACGTCAATTATTCTACCTTTTATTAAAAGAGATAAAAACAATACGTAAGGGACCTGTGATTGTTGAATACAGCATTTACATGTTGTGTTGAAAACTCCTTCCATAATCCTAATCCTGGTAAAGGCAGATGCCTGCAAACTGTCGATCAACATTTATGATCTACTTAGCTGAATAATAAATAATTCTACCTATGTTTAAACATAGCAAGATTATGAGTTCATTTATATTTCTTCAGCTCCAGATTCAAAAGTGACCCCTGGAATAAAATGAATGAATCAGGTCTCACCCTGAACAATGTAGGCTCCCAAATAGGCAGCTTCAGCAAACGGACAGAGGAGGCGACCGTGGTAGATGTCTCTCTTCAGCTGGAGATAGAGGAGATACCTGAACAAACACACACACACACACACGCACGCATGCATGCACACACACACACACACATTACTTAACTTGGACTGGGAGCTATACAAGAGGGTCCTCATGCGGCACAGGAATCACAGATTGACTCCTACAACACTGACTGGACTTGGAGTCCGCTACCGATTTTGAGACAAGACAGTTGCAACATTAAATACCAGGGTAAAGATGATATCAGCCAAAGCTACAGACCTTGGCTGTGTAATAATTTTCATGTGTTGCCATGATGTTTAGAGCAACAAGAGTATTGTCATAGAAACACATTCCATACCATAAAGGCTGGTATTATATAGTTACTATGGAAACAACTTCTGTACAGGCCATGGCCAGACTACAGTGCTGATTTGTCTTGTGAAACTGAGTCCGCCTTGGCCACAGTCAGACTCAAATAAAGGGGACCATGTGTTACCATAGAAACAGATGAGTGTGCTAACTCAGAATGTATGTTTTTTTGGACATGAGAAACAGACACAGCAGGAGAAGATCATTAAAGCCTAAACACATAAAATTAAGTTTCTGCTGCTGCGACTGCGGCCTGATTTTACAGAAAGAGTCTGAGTTTGAGGCAGATGTCTGGAAATAGTTCAAAAACCCCGGTTTGCATAAAAGCAGTAACAGTTGGTCAATAATTGATGATAAGTTGAACATTGACCTAATTTTCAAACTGTACAATTGACTTCCTGTTTGATATTGTATGGGTATATATTGTAAGAAAGTTTTGTGATTCTAAAGGGATTCAATGTGTGCACTATTAAAATAAACACATTCATTTTTGTTTTAAACCCCAGAAAGAAGAGAAAAAAAACATTTTTTATTTATTGTGCCTTCTGATCTTGACTTGAACATCGCTGAAATAGCTCATGGGTGCGACAAATCCTCAGGACAACGAATGATGCTCTTTCAAAGTGAGAATCAATGTTACAGAATGTAAAGTTTAATTGACCTCACTGATGAAAAACACCCTTAGGCAATAAAAGTGGTAGAGGGCAGAGGAACAAGCGAGATGAAAGAGAGAAGAAAAAGTGAAAGGAAGCATTCATTTTCTTCTTCAACCAGAATGGCTTCTATGATAATAGGTTGAAAGACTAAAGGGAAAACATTCTGTGTTAGCATGTTAGCCACCACAGTAGCAGCCGTGTATCATGGGACTTGGGCTGATACCTGCACTTTAACACTAGACAAATCTTTTCTTTTTCTTTTTTTTAAATAAATCTTATAAACCAACATCCGAAAGGTCTGATAAGTAAATCAAACATATTCATTTAAAATAGCTGGGTAACAATGGTCAAAATAAAACCTATCAATGAAATGACAGTTAGACTATGAAAACTTTTAAACTATGCTTTACTTTCAGCAATTTTTTAAATAAATGTTTTAATGTTTTTGTGTGCTATTCGGCTAACTGTACTGTTAACAGCATGATTACTTATTTATTACAACTGCAGAAAATATTTTATGAAGGGAGAGAAATTAGAGCGCCACCCAATGGTCCTTACCTGGTTAGCTCCTCTTTGATTTTAATTGGTTCATGGGGATAAAACTTCACCCTGAAGCACATGATGTAAGGCTGCTGAGCTGCTGAGGACAATAGACGCAGAGATATGAGCTGAATATATATATATATATATATATATATCTATATATATATATATATATATATATTCAGCTCATATCTCTGCGTCTATTGTCCTCAGCAGCTCAGCAGCCTTACATCATGTGCTTCAGGGTGAAGTTTTATCCCCATGAACCAATTAAAATCAAAGAGGAGCTAACCAGGTAAGGACCATTGGGTGGCGCTCTAATTTCTCTCCCTTCATAAAATATTTTCTGCAGTTGTAATAAATAAGTAATCATGCTGTTAACAGTACAGTTAGCCGAATAGCACACAAAAACATTAAAACATTTATTTAAAAAATTGCTGAAAGTAAAGCATAGTTTAAAAGTTTTCATAGTCTAATTTGGATGAAAAGAAAGGGGGAGAATTTACCCTTTGTTATATATAGTTAATTCAGTTATAATTGTACTGGTCCAGCTCACCTGACATCTCATCAGGTTGTATGTGGCCCATGAACCAAAATGAGTTTGAAACCCCCTGTCCTAGTTAATAAGTTTCAACTTTTCAAACCAGAAAGTTACATCTATTTCTATGAAATCTGCCTGTGAAATTTACCATTTATTTGTCTCTATTCTCTTAAAATCCTATCTTTGCTGTATATTTTGCATGGATTGATGCAGCAGAAGAAAATACCAGTCATTAGCTGTTTCTCTAAACTGAACTATGATTGGTCAATGTTTCATGTCACTCAATCAACTGTCCTGTGAGGTGAATGTTCAAAGCTTCACACTGACAATAGTTTAGCATTTGGTTAGTAAATGCTAACAGAACATTTGGTTAGCATTGCAGTAAATTGAACTGACTGAAGCTCTGTAGTCCAATTCTCAGTGTGAAGAACAGCATTGTTTGAGACAAGTAGCTGTAGGTTTAATATATATAAATGATTTCTGTGTGGTTCTATAATATAGCTGTTAGCACACCTGCCTTGCAAGCAGATTGTGCTGGGTTTGATTCCCTGAGGAACCACAGATCCTCCTATTTGGCAGCCCGTGAGGGGCACCTATGTACTTACAGTAATGGCGCCTCTTTTGGCAGCCTGTGTCATTTGGAAAAAAAAATCACACAGTATATTTTCCAATTGTGGGACAAGTAAGGGACTCTTTTTTTTCTTCCCATGGACTTGAGCTGATTATTGGCTTTCTTCTTGTCTCTCTTGTTTTTCATTGCCTCTCTCTTCTCTTAAGCCACCTCATCTCTATGCACTCGCTCCCTTCTAAGGTTTGTTCGTCTGATATTTATCTAAGGTTTAAAGATTTCTCGCTCTGATCCCATGTTGTTCCTCCTGCTGCTGTTGGCAGACACTGAGTGACTTATTGTTAGCTTTGTACAAAGTTACACACACACACAACCCAATGTAGCATTTTTACAAATTCCTAACAACACAGTGAGAACAGAGAAAACCATTAAAGGATGGATGATCCTCAGACAGACAGGAAGTTGAAACCAAAGCAATCAGAAAAAGATTAGAAGCAGAGACAGGAAAAAGTACAAATAACAAGCGGCATGTTACACACACACATACTTTCTCTGGTATACTGACTGCTGTGGTATTTGACGTATGTGTGTGAGTACAGTCTTTTATGACCTGAGCTGCTCTATGTAGTGACAACAGACTGTATCACACAAATACATGCAGTTCAGAGATATAGACACACAAACAGCAAATACAGAGCTGCAGGATGTAATGAAAAAAAAAACAGACACTTACATTTCATCTGCCTCACCACAGGCTTGTTGGGTTCCAGCCAGTGCTGACAGGGAGAAAACAAAGACAAATTTCAATAAGTTCTCATTTTTTGCACTCTTACTTTGTACTTTGTACCCGTGTACTGTACAAAATTGCAGAACGACTTGAAATGTTTTTTCGTTTAAAGAGATAGTTCGACACAGTCTTAGGGTGAGAAACTAGTTCTCATTCTTGTGGACATTGGAAAGCACTTAGGGCAGGCATACACTGTACAATTTTTTGCAGTGTACAGGGGGTAACGAGGGCCGATTATCTGTTCCTGACCCACAGAGAGCCCCAAGCCAACCGGATAATTTCTCCCTCAGTGCGCCTGTGCAAAGTGATAGTCACAATGGTAAGGCGTCGGTGGCATGAAAATATGGAGGTGAGATTGATAGAGCTGTGGCACTGTCCACAATAAACGTAATAAATAATAAATAAACAATACACGTACTGTCCACGTTTATTGAGCCATCTCCGACTCCAGATGCGCCGGCGCCTCTTCTTTTTAGAACTATCAGCGTACAGTACTGTAGCAATCACAAAGGCAGCCTTCTTCTTTTTGTCTAGCATGTTGCTAATAAACGGTGTCCAAGCTTTTACATAAATCTTTATTGACAGCTGTCAATAGACAGGACAGTCAGCAGGGGCCGACGAGACGTTTTCGCCCGCATAGTGTAAGCTGTGGTCGTGTTCAATGATCGGACCGTACAGTGTGAGTACATAAATTGTGATCTTTGTCTGTACATCGTAGACAATTATTCGTATAGTGTGTGATGGTACCAACGACAAGATTTTCAAAAATCGTATAGTGTATGCCCGCCCTTCTGATGCAGATTTTTCAACCAATGTCTGTTAGGACTATTTCCCTTTATGCCATTAAGACAAATTTGAAATTTATATGGGGTTGCCATCTGAGCTAGTGCAGCATGATTGACAGCAAATGCAAATTTGTAATGCAAAATGTAGTCACAAGCCGAAAAAGGTTGGGATGGACTACACTAAGGTGTGTGTTTGTGGAGTGTGTCAGTCTAAAAGTCTAATTTATCTTGGGTTTGGCTTTGATGTTTCTTCTCCAACTGATTTTTTCTGGACCGTTTCTTTCGTATTAAACCTTAAATTATTTTATTTTCTCTACCGTAACATCATTCTCAGGCTCATTTTTGGCTGGAGCACTGACTACAGGCTAGTACAGGGGTGTCAAACTCATTTTCCCCGGGGGCCACATCGGCAATACAATTCCTCTTGAAGGGCCGGTTGTAGCTGGATGACTGTATAGATCAGGGGTCCACAAACCCCGGTTCATAGGTCAATTGGTACCGGGCAGTGGGACACAGTAAAAAATGTACTTAATTTTTACTAATGTACTTTATTCAAGGAAAATCCAGTCCAGTCCATTAACTATTTTTATTTAAAGACAATCTGGTGATATTTAAAAACAGGTGGTACTGGCTGACCAGTCCTTGGAACAAAAAAGGTTGGGGAGCGCTGGTATAGCTGTAACTACTTCATGCACTACTTTCTGCAATTGATTATTATTTATTCAAGCTACAAATGTTGTTCATTGCAATTGTAATAAAAAAAACTTGTAATTTCTCAGGTTAAGAAGCTCTGCTGCATGAACTTTATTAAATGCTTTTTAAGCTCCTGCGGGCCACGGGCCTTGAGGTTGACACATATGGGCTTGTGCTTTTCACAACCACACTACATTATGATGTAAGGATTCATTAAATTGCATTTATGATAGAAACCAGACTTTAATTCCATTTTACTTTTGACTAGAACAACCTAGGGGGGAATGAGAAAAAGTACACAGAGTGTAATTTCCATATTTCCTGTCACTGAACAAATACTCTTTTGCCTCAAGGAAGACAAATTTAAGTGGATTAGTCACTGGATGTCACACTAAGCAGAAGATATTGATTGGTCAGGTTTTTAGCAGATGCGTGTGATAACTTACCCTCTGTTTCTCGGGGTCCACATATCTTATACCAAAGTAGTCTCTCTCCAGGAGGTTGTAGTGGTTACATACATGCTCCAACAAGAACTGGCCTTTGGTTTCTCTCTGGAAACAGAACACATAAAAAGATTGTTCGAGGTTTACTTTACGACCTGTCCGGCGTCTGAACCATTTTTCACATTAATTGGGTAATAAAAAAAATCCATAGCATAGAATCAGGAATCACTGATCATGATTGTAATGCAACTTCGTTAATATTTCCATCATCGTCTAAACCAGTGGTCCCAAACTCCCAGGGTGCGGACCGGCACTGGTCCCTGGGTCAACTGGTACCAGGCCGCATGGAAAGAATGCATAACTTTGATTATTTCCGTTTTATACAGTATATTATCTGATTCCGAACAGTGTTTTATTTTGAAAATGACCGGATTCTCTCCACCGCATCTGTCTGTGACTCACACTTGATACATGACAAGATGCTTGCCTCGGTCACAGAAAACAAACGTCTTTGGAAAGTTTCTTTCAGCAGGGTAAAAGAGCCAGTGAAGAAACAGAAGAAGAGCCTTTGTCTTCAAAGAAAAAGAAAGCTTGGCTTTTGGACTGGAAAATGGCAGAGTATGTACCACACCAGGAGAGCTCTATTGAAATCCTGCCCGAATCCGTTCTTTAAGTGTTTTTGTACATTAGTCAGCCTGTTTAAAACCTGCATAGAGACCATGGGCAAAGGCATCAAAAAGCAGATCTCGGCCGCAAACGAACATTGGGGGGAAAACAACCAAAGTGACGACATGCTAGCTAATCAAAGCGGGTAACACTAGTGGACATGGAGAAACTTCTGAAGGCAATGGAGTAGAGTATTATATTGAAACTTTCCGACCAACTCACCATGGACCATGCAGCTATTGAACAACATGTTAAACACATGGAAACTTTGCTAACGACATGGAGACCAGATTGGCTACCATTGAATCTACCTGCCTTGTCCTGTCACAAGAGAACCAGAGCCTCCGTTCTAAGATCGGCGACCTCGAAAATATATCTTGGCATAACTGGCATACCGGAGAAAGCTGAAGCTGAACAACCAACCACATTTATGGAGGTATTGTTGAAGGAAACAAT